AACCAAGTTTGTTCAACAAACATGGTAAAAATGCTGGCTTAAAGGTGAATAGACCATTGAGATTTAGTTGAGTTCACAGAAACCTACTGACCTGCTGGATCCATAAACCCTTGTAGGGTGCCATTTATCTTTCCCAGCATCTATTTTACACATGGAGTCTGACTAGCATAAGTGATATATAAGTCTTAAGTGCTATTGCTATTGCTATACAAGGTTGGAACACATACACATAGTGTTCCTTACATTACCAGACAAATTTCTGCTGAGGTTGGCACAGTTTAAACAGACTATAAAGTTATGCAGCAAAGATTTTCAGGTAACTTTGCAAAAATTGGTCCTGAACCATCGTTCCCATGGAAGCTGGCAACAAGAAATGTAATTTCTGTAATTATTTCACAAGCTTGGCATGGATATTGACTGGAAATAACTGCAAAGTAGCCATAAGAATCAGCTGCATATCATTTGTTTACCTATTATTTCAATCTGGTTCTTGTCTGCCTGCACCTGGGATGCTAGCCCATAACCACAGACCCACAGTCATAGTGACCGCAACAGTTTTCCAAAATGTTCAGAACACCCTTATTTTTAGAAATGGACTGCTCCAGTTGCAAATAGCATTTTTCCCCCCACCAATAAGAGTGTAAGCAGCATCTTGCTTGCGTTAGTTATTTGGTGTTTTCTGTAGCGGCGTTTGAATTTGAATTTCAGTCATTTTGACTGCAGCTCTTTGTTAACATATATATTTTTTATAATGTCGGGGCCATGTTTTCCATCAAAAAGAGTATAATTTGGTGATCCAAACTTTGAAGAAACTGTTCTACAATGGTATGAAGAAGCAGAGAGTGATCTGAGTGAAGTGGAATTGGATTGCAACAAAAATTTTGGAATGGGCGATGATGAACCTGCCGCTGATTCTGACATCAGCGATGATGAAGCTCCCAATGAAATTGATGACCAGGTACAATCTACATCATGCAATAATTTATATGGCAAGAACAAATTCAAATGGTCTTCTGCACCTTTTGGAAGCAATAGTTCCAGAACCGCTAGTCACAATATTGTGACCTGGACTAAGATCAGCAGCTAGAAATCTCAGAAATTCACCAACTCCGCTAGAGATTTGGAAATTATTATTTTCTAAAGAAATTATTAGTGGCATCATTCAGTGGACCAATGTAAAAATTAGAGCAGAAAGATTGAAGTTAAAAGATGGAGAAACAAAAAGTGACCTGCACGATGTGGATTTGATAGAGATCAATACATTTTTTGGTTTACTGTTCTATACATCAATTTTTAGATCCAACCATGAAAACATTGAATGTCTTTTTGCTACTGATGGAACTGGTCAAGAAATTTTTAGATGTGTAATGAATCGAAACAGATTTGCTGTTCTTCTTCGATGCCTTTGATTTGATAATCCAGATGACCGAAAGGAACAACGGGCATTGAATCCCTCTGCCCCGATTACAGAAATTTTTGCACAATTTATCAAAAATTGTCAGGAGGCTTACACGATTGTGACGTCAGCCACCACTGGCGAGATGTTAATTGGATTTTGTGGGAGATGCAAATTCAAAATGTACCTTCCACTAAAACCTGACGAATATCGGCTAAAGCCTTACAGATTCTCGCAGTAGCTATTTTTTCAATGGTTATTTATATTTAGGCAAGAATTCAGATGGACGATCTTTATCGGAGAAGGACTGCAAATTTTCCAAACCTACTCAATCTGTATTGAGGTTAGCCGAACCTCTATTTTGTAATAATAGAAATATAACCACCGATAACTGGTTTAGTCCAATTGAGGTAGTTCGTGAATTAAGAGATAGAAGTTTGACTTATGTAGGAACTCTGAAGAAAAATAAAGCTGAAATTCCTCCTTCATTTCTTCCACATCGAAGGAAAGCTATTGGCTCTTCCATGTACACATTTACAAAAGAAATAACGCTCTTGTCATGTGTTCCGAAGAAAAATCGTACAGTATGTTTAGTATCCTTGATACATCATAATGAATATACCGATCCCGATAGCAACAAAACTGAAATTATTTCTTACAGTAGTAATAAAGGAGATATTGATTCATTGGACCAAAAGTGTGCCATATGTTCTAGTGGGAGGCCTACCAGTAGATGGCCTCTGGCAATATTTTTCAGAATATTGGATATTAGTTCAGTAAATTCTTTCATCCTTTACAATTGTTATGGTAACACCAATAAGAAAATAACCAGGCAACTTGTCAAACAATTAGCAGAAACATTGATTAGAGATGAAATGATAAGACGACTGAATAAAAAAATACCAAGAAAGTTGAAGTCTTGAATTTGAAAAATTCTGCAAGTAGAGGAAATGCCGCAAGACAAAAATTTAGATAAACTTGAAAAAAGAAAAAATGTGTTCTGTGTGTGATCCAAAGTTAACAGGAAAAACTTTTCATTTGTGTTATATATGTAAAAAGCCAATATGTAACAAATGCTGTAAAAGACTCTACAAACATTGGAGTGACTATTTATTATTATATTTGTTTCTCAATTTATAAAATTTGTTAATTTGAAAATTTTAAGTATATAAAATAAATTTAACAACATATCCCACCTATTGTTTTCATAGATTAAGAAAATTGTATGAGCGGTCATTATGACCTTATGTCTGTAATAGCATAGCCGAAATAGTACGTCTGTAGTTAAGGGCTAGAAATGACTTACATTTGAACTGTGACATTTTGAATTTCTAAAAAAACTCAAAATGTGTTCTGTGCCACAGTAGCTAAGCCAATTTTAGATCTCCTTTGAGGAGCTTTCTCGCAGATAGAAACTAATGAGTAGCATGAAAGAGGGTGCTTATGTATTAGGGCTCTGCAGAAGTTCCAGAAATGATGCTTTGAAACCGTGTAGAAGTGCAGTATGTGCCAAGCCTACTGTACAGAGCTAGTGGGGAGTAGCTTCCAAGCCAGCCACGCAGTCCCTCCAAATGACACAGCTGCTTAAAAAATTTACAAAGAGATGTTTTTTATATACACTGTCCCCTATATCGAAGGCTTTACATTTTTTGGAACCTGGATGTCTTCCCCCAACGTAAGGATTTTAATTCCCAGAATTCTCTAGCTGGCCAGGGCCATTGCTGAAAGAGCACTTGGATTGATGAATACAGTCTAAAACATGGGTGTCAAACTTGCTGCGTCCCATGACGTTTCACGTTTTTCCCCTCCGTGGAGCTGGGGTGGGCATGGCCTGCACGCAGTTTGACACCCCTGGCCTTAAATCATTACTAAGAAAACGGTCCAAGGGTTCATCACTTTGACTCTGATGGCGAGAAATGATGTGGCAGCATCCTGCCTAGCAGATGTCTGTTTCTATCAAATAGTGCAAAAATCCTTGTTAAACAACCAGGCCAGGGCAAGGCAGGCCAGGCCAGACTTCTTGCATACAGTGTATATAAGATATACAATCTTGGCAAGTACAATTTAATAGACCATTTGTCTCTATTATCCAAAGATGCCTATACCGTTATTACATTAGTAGTAGACGGTTGCCAAGAACGTCACATGTAAATGTTGCAAAGCATCAGAATTGCTTTAGTTTTTGTGAAACATTCCTGTCTGCATGAAGCATTTTAAAAATGACTTTGATTTTGTTAAAGAAATCAGCCATGTGTTCTCTCTCTCTCTCTCTCCCTACAATAGGAAACACAACCTCTTTGTAAATAGTTTCTGCATTTTTAACCAATCAATATTGGGACACAAAGGTTTGTGTAATGCTTGCTTGAAGATTATTTTTATATCTATAGTCTGTATGAATATCTGCCGCAAAACTAAAAAATTGTAACATACTGCCTATATCAATGTTTTTCTGCACTGCCTAATTTGTGCCTTGGTAATTGTAAAGTTACCATCCTGCTTTACAGTGGATGTTCTATTATTCCTGTTATCATACTGTAAAAAAGAATGTAATCAGGATATATCTATGAACTGATGCAAAGAACCTGCTCTCTCTTTCTCTCTTTTTTCTTATTTGCAGTAAAAGACTATTTCTAGATCTCCTTTTCATTTTATCCTAGTTTTTTCAAACTTGGGGAAAAGAAGGGAAGGGCACTGAAGATATCTCAGAAGTTGCAAAATTCCTGGGAAAATTTGGAATTTGAGCTTTTTTCTAAAGTAGGTTGAAAATTCCTGCTTAAAGGCAGGAAGGGAATTAAAAAAGAACAGAATGGACTGAATGCTTCTGGCAGGGGATTGTCCTTGGTCCACATAGTACTTTTGAGAACCAGAGCAGGTTGCATTGCCCACTTCAACAACCACTTAGGAAAGAGTCATTCCTTCAATATTTACTGCCAAATATATATATATATATAACTGAACTAGTCGGGGAAAATGGCAGTAGGTCAAATTCAAGATTCATCATTTTAATTTTTAACAAGTTACCTCAAAAGAACCCAAAACATCAGAGACTCTCTTGGTTAGAGGGCACGGGATTTTAATGAGCTCATTTGGCAGCTGTTTTGTTTTTTTAATGAGTTTGTTTCAAATTCAGGCAGCAAAACTTAATCTCTGCAGGTAAAGCTTATACAGGTAGTCCTTCACTTATGACCACAATTGAGCCCAAAATTTATGTTGCTAAGTGAGGCGTTTGTTCAGTGAGTTTACACTTAATGGTCGTAAGTGTGAAAAATGGTCATGTCACTTTTTCAATGCCTTGTATCTTCGAACAGTCACTAAATGAACTGTTGTAAGTCAAGGACTTACCTGTAACATTCCCTAGGTATCTGGACTGGAATTTTAGCAATTGCATTTCTTTCCACTAAACTCAATTTCTTCTTTAAAGCAATACACACAAGCCACAGCATTAATTTGATATGGGATTTAAGGGATTATATTTTTGGTCCAGCATTAAGACAACTCCTACCAACAATTCTATTGGATGAATACAAAGAACTGTAACTATTTGGAATCCTTTGAGCATCGAGTAACTTTACAAGGCATGTTATACATTTATACAACTTAAAGGTTTACATTGACCACATTTATTCAAAAGTAGCACTCCAATTAATTTTGGAGTGAAATCAAATCAGACATGCAACCTAATCTTTTTTTTTTCCTTTTCAAAATAATGGTACCAGGGCATGCTCCTTGAAAAATGTGCAGATTAAGCCTTAAACGTTTTTAAAGATGACATGGTAATATAGTAGCAAACAAGACATGACTAAACATATGAAGAAATCAAGTTCACATCCAATCACCATATAAAGACAACTGTGCTACATGATATTCACAGCTTTACATTCATTTTTGTATTAGTAGCAATTCAGGATTACATAAAGTTAAAAAAACGCATAGAGCATACATTTTTTTTCCTCAGCCACCTTTGGTACCATGCTAGACACCGTCTACTTCTTTTCCCCACTCCTACATGAAAGAAAAGCTGTGCTGACACCTTGTGGTTTTTGATGAAGACAAAATCCATTGCAGTACTTTGTTCTAGCGTTTGTGTAAACTGCACTGCTATTTCAAGGTAGCTTGTGTTTCTTGTAGAAGTGCCTGTTGTGAATAAACCAGGTGCTTGGTAATAACCGAGTGACTCCAAGGAGATGCGGAATACTTGAGAACATTAGTCCTGCAAAATAAAATAAGTTGCCTGCATCGTCTTTCAGTTAACTACAAACTTCAAATCTATCCAATTAAATTTTAACAGAATTTGACTGCGTTGATCCCATATCATGTGAAATCAAAGATCTGGGAAGATCTGCTCTTATGAAGATATTCACTGGTAGCCTCATATTGCAATGAACAAGGACATACATTCAATTTCGCAGCTACTAAGATTGTTGGCCGTGCTGGTACAAAGATAGCCAGGGAAATGATTGAAGCCTGAGAAATGGGCCTCTTCGTCAGTCAACAGGACTACCAGCTCATCAAGTACTTAGGAGCCGAGGACTTGGCAGCACAAGAAATCAACAGCCAATCACAGGCCATCAGCTCACCAGTCAATAGGAAGGCACCACAAAAACATGAAGCATAGAATAGCCCAAAGCACATATTCCAGTGGAGAGAAGTTCCCTAAGGACGGGCTCCAGCACGAGTCCAAAAGCCCGGAAGACTAAACCTCTAATCCAGATTGAAACTTAAAATATCTTTTATATATATAAAAAAAGGGGGGGGGGAACAGTAGTGGAATTCAATTTTTTTTAACTACCGGTTCTGTGGGCGTGGCTTGGTGGACGTGGCAGGGGAAGGATACTGCAAAATCTCCATTCCCACCCCACTCGGGGGCCAGCCAGAGGTGGTATTTGCCGGTTCTCCGAACTACCCAAATTTTCTGCTACCGGTTCTTCAGAACCTGTCAGAACCTGCTGAATAGCAGCCCTTGGGGAAAACCTCAGCCATCTAAAGAGAGTGAGTGAATTTTTCCTCCAAACACTCCCTGTAGGGCCAATACTAAAAATGGTAGGCAACCTTCCAGTATTTTTTGTCCCATTGTTGGCATATTTTCAGTACTAGCTACAAATTCATACCAAATTAAAAGCTTGGGTCACTGAATCCAGTGTATACTTGGCCCAGTATAGCTAGGTTGCAAAAATCCTTACTAGATGGCAGAAAAGAGTTAGAAATTTCTATATAGCTCTACTGGGGTAGCCTGGCTTTTGCAGTCAGATCTGGTAGGCCTATTTTCAACTATCTTGATTATTTTTCTTCTTATTACAGCTAATTGGATTCTTTGCAGCATTATTCTTATAGCTAATTAATTTAATTTTGGCATTCATTCTAGGATCCAGCAATTTAGTTTCCACCTTGGCCAAAGATTAATTAAATATTCCAATTTCTCTGGAAGAAAAGTTATTTCTCATGTGACAAAGACAAAATCACCTTTTTTATATCCAAAAATGCTGAAATCCTATAGTGTAATAATGCAAAACCAGGATGGTTTTGCTAGCGAAAAATTCACATACAAAAGGTTCCTTTCTCTTCCAAATAACTGCTAAATCTCAAACATTCTTGATTCGTTGCCAAGTTCAGATGTGTATTTTGCACCAAAGAAATCTCACAACTGAACACTTATCTTTGTTTAAGTTCTTTTAATCAAGGGGCCTAAACTGAGCATTTTTTGCATACAGAATTTTTAAAATCCTAAAGAAGTCATACTTATCTCAAAAGGTGTATAAAGTGGCTACTACATCAGAATAAGGGGTTTGTTTTATTTTGGCTTAGTAAAATTGCATGAAGCGGACCATATCAATCCTTGCTCCCTCCCCTCCAAAGTTGGTCTGAGTGCGTATTTCTCCCTCTTTTCTTTATGTACAGGTAGTCCTTCACTTACAAGTTTGTTTTAGTGACCGTTCAAAGTTACGACCCTGAAAAAAGTAACTTATGATCATTTTTCATACTACTGTTGCATCATCCCCATCGTCATGTGATTAAAATTCAGATGCTTGGCAACTGACTCATTTTTATGATGGTTGCAGTGTCCTGGGGTCTTGTGAACAGCTTTTGCCTCCTTCTGATAAGCAGAGTCAATGGAGAAATCATTCATTTAACAACTGTGTTATTTTTTTTTTAATTTGATTTATATGCCGCCGTTCTCCAGAGACTCAGGGCGGCTTACAATGCGCTAAGCAATAGCCTTCATTCTTTTGTATATTTATACAAAGTCAGCTTATTGCCCCCACAACTGGGTCCTCAATTTACCTACCTTAGAAAGGATGGAAGGCTGAGTCAACCTTGAGCCTTGGCGAGATTCGAACCTGCAGTAATTGCAGGCAGCTGGTCTTAATAACCAGCTTAATAACAGGGTGCCTTAGACCACTGTACTACCAAGGCTCTTATTAACTTAACTGCAGTGATTCACTTAACAAACGGTGGGGCAAATTATGGTCTTGTTAATGATGTTTATTATGAATCTCCAAGTAGTGTTTATTGTATTTTTTAATATTTCTTGGCAAGAAAGATTGTAAAATGAAGCAAAACTCACTTAACAAATGTCTCCCTTAGCAGCAGAAATTTTAGGCTCAATTGTGGTTGTAGGTCTAGGACCCTCTGTATATGCTACAAGCAAAACTGGGCACCACAGGAGGATTACAAGACAGTCTCTTTCCAGTCAAGCCCAACATTGGGGACTCCATGGCCATTACCATGCAGCAATATAGAAGTGGTTTGCACTGCCTCCTTTCTGGAATGTTCCCCCTTGCTTCCCATCTAGCCTTCAGCCTCTGTTCTGCAGAAGCACTACCCCACACCAACCTTACTTAGCTTCCAAGCCAAGTCAGTGTCAGCCAGGTGTTGCCATCTGTTGAGACCAATTAAAAGAGAGCTATTAAAAATACACTAAATACTACTTGGAGATTCATAATACGGAAACATCATTAACAAGACCATAATTTGCCCCACCGTTCAGCCCTGGGAATAACCCCGTGCTCTTTATGAAACAGCAATATTAACACTTCCCTTTGAGTTGATTCCTAATGTTTTTCAACGCAGGCCAGCACAACTAAACCATCAGGCAGAAAGTGAAGTGATGCAACCCACCTTCCAAAGGAAGTTAACGCGTTAGAGGCAGTATCTTTTCATAATGAAAGGAATTTTGTCCCGGTCTGAACATAATCCAAACCATTGTTATATCCTTAAAAGAAGAGCAGCAGAGATGACAAGCTTGTCATTCTTGACCATATTGGTACAGAAAAGTTACTGCAAAGGACTCCGTTAATAAGACAGATGCATTCTGATACCAAATCTCATCATAGTTATCATACCACAGTGACCATATCTCATAAATCACAGTGGCCAACTCTGACTGTGATGGGAACTAGATAGTTATGGCTACACCGAAGAAAGTTTTACCCAGCGAGAAATCAAAGAAAATGGGAGAAGTTACTTGGTGATTAGAAACTATTAGATGCCCACTTTGCAAATGACATTTTTTTAGCTATTTTTCTCCTTTTTACAGGTTTAGCACTATATAAACACCTCTTTGGCACTCTGCCTGATTTATTAAAAGCAGCATAAACCCTGAAACAAGCCCAGCATTTACCCTCATGGATCTGTCAAAGGCATTTCTCACAGTTCCTTCATCTTGAAGAAAAAGCTGTGGAGAGACAAGGGAAGAAATGCAAAGGATTCTAAACAAAAGCTCCAGTGTGGTAAGATTGTCCAGAGTTTTTTTTTTTTTTAATGCTTGGTTCTTTTCTGAAGCTGATACATCTTCATTTTGGCAAAAATGACTGTGTCAATCTACATTCGAATTCCTATTTGCAAGCCATACAGAGAAGGCATCGACGTATGTTTATTATAAAAAAAACCAAAACCACACAATTCAAGAAGTGAAATTAGCCTTGTCGGAAAGCAATGTCATTGTTTGTAGCTCTGCAATGGGTCTTGCATTGCTGTAAATAAAAGTCTCAATGCTTGTTAACATACATTTTTAGGATTTCAGGATAACCCTTCTCATTAACAGTAGAGAATTTTTTTTCCCTTCAATTTTCTTGGTCTTCACCAGGTAGTAACAGGATTGGTTTTATAGTTTCTGTAATCGTCCATGCAGAAAAATGCCAGCTCTGTTTCATTCGCTGAAATGAGGAAAACACACATATTTCACCTATTTGATAAAGACCAGAGTTTTCCCATCACGGGAAAAATATAGTAATAATTAAGCTGTCATTTAAGGCTGTTGTTGATTAACATCTTTTTACAACCGATCCCAATGGTAAGAAGACATAGTAGGCTTGGTATAGAAGGAACAGGGAAGGACCCTTGCTTAAAAACAAAATTCAAAACAAAGACATTGAGGTAGCATTCCAGAAGCTGAAAGCATTACTTCTTCTCTTTCATTGTATTCTCATTTCAAAATATAAGAAATAGCTAAACCTATATTTTAAAGTTCCTTGTTCTATTTAGTGAGAAGGGAGGGAGGTTCCCCCTGAAATTAACCTGTAGCAGTAATAATTTAATACTTAGAGGATCAGTAGAATATTTTACAGGTCACTTTACATTCTCCCTCATGACCCATCAAATGCGAGACTGAAGCAGCTAATTTCCCCCCCTCCCACCCCCGCCAATGATTAATTCATGAGGCTTCAACAATATGCAAAGTGAAAGACACAAATTGGCTTCTCCAGCAATACCTTCAAATGCCTCTAATTATTCACAGGGGATCTGGCAGAGCCCAAGGAACCACAGAGGTTCAGAACAGGCACAGTTCTTCCCACCAGCAGGTCAAGGACTTCTTCTAAAACAGTAAGTCAGCAACATTACTAATTCAGAGCAGACACATCGCTGATGGAAAGTCATCACAATTAGAAGACGTGGGAGCCTTTTGAAGTGCGAAGCGACCAAGTTCGACACTCGCTTTTTAAAATTAAACCGTAAGTTAATGAAGTCTGCCTGTGTCGTGAAGAAAGGAGCAAGGAGCGGGGAGAGCTATGACTGAATATCGACTTGGAAATCAGCAGAAAGAGAAAAGACGGGTCCTCCTGGAGGAATCCAAAGTGAAAGCAGACACTTTGTATAGAACTTTTGGGTGAACTGCACCCTGTTTAGGCCTTGCTTATCAGATCATTATTGCTCCTAAAAAGTTATTCTATTCTCACAATTTGCTTTTCTCCAATGAGAGGGTCTGTTCAGAAGGTCACATCTGGGTTTGTAGACCCTTGACGTCATGAGGAGCAAACTTCAGATTTGCACCCTTATTTTAAAACTTCTTCAAATGAACAAAAATATTACGTGCTTATTGAAATGCTAGACCCCTCTGTTCAATTTTCTATGAAAAAAGGAGATTAAAGCATCAATGGTTAGATGCTGCCCTTTATAGACTTCAGCTCAGCATTCAATACCATCACTCCAGATATTCTTCTAACTAAACTAAATCAGCTAGCTGTACCTGACCACACTTGTAAATGGATCATAAGCTTCCTACCAGACAGGAAGCAGCAGGTGAAGCTAGGCAAAATCAAATCAGATAGCTGTACAATTAGCACAGGAGCTCCCCAGGGCTGTGTGCTCTCTCCACTTCTCTTCTCTCTGTATACCAATGACTGCATCTCAAAAGATCCCTCTGTTAAAGTACTGAAGTTTGCAGATGATACAACAGTGATTGGTCTCATTCAAGACAACGACGAATCTGCATACAGACAGGAGGTTGAACAACTAGCCTTGTGGTGCAACCAGAACTTGAACTAAATACACTCAAAATTGTAGAAATGGTGGTAGATTTTAGGAGAAACCCTCCTATACTACCACCTCTTACAATACTAGACAACACAGTATCAACAGTAGAGACATTCAAGTTTCTAGGTTCTATCATATCTCAAGACTTAAAATAGACACCTAACATCAAAAACGTCATCAAAAAAGCACAACAAAGAATGTTCTTTCTGCGCCAACTCAGAAAGCTCAAACTGCCCAAAGAGCTGCTGATTCAGTTCTACAGAGGAATTATTGTGTCTGTCATCTGCACCTCTATAACTGTCTGGTTTGGTTCTGCAACCCAACAAGACAAACACAGACTTCAACGGATAATTAGAGCTGCAGAAAAAACAATTGCTACCAACCTGCCTTCCATTGAGGACCTGTATACTGCACGAGTCAAAAAGAGGGATGTGAAAATATCTACAAACCCTTCACATCCTAGACATAAATTGTTTTAACTTCTACCCTCAAAACAACGCTATAGGGCACTGCACACCAGAACAATTAGACACAAGGACAGTTTTTTCCCGAATGCCATCACTCTGCTAAACAACTAATTCCCACAACACTGTCAAACTATTTACTAAGACTGTATTACTATTCTTCTTCTCATCCTTCCTATTACCTATCTCCTCCCACTTATGACTATAATAACCATGTTGCTTGAATTTTTACGATTTATATTGTTCTGTTTATTTCCTAGTATGATTTGATTTCCTAATAGTAATCTATGACTATCTCTAAGTGTTGTATCTTATGATTCTTGGTGAATGTATTCTTTTTTCTTTTTCCTTTTATGTACACTTGAGAGTATATGTATGCACCAAAGACAAATTCCTTGTGTGTCCAAACACACTTGGCCAATAAAGTATTCTATTCTATTCTATTCTATTCTATTCTATTCTATTCTATTCTATTCTATTCTATTCTATTCTATTCTATTCTATTCTATTCTATTCTATGCAGTGTTCCTCCCAAGATTAAATTGGGTCTTATTCTAGTGGGTTTTTCAGAAAGGTATAAAAACCTGGATTTTCTGAAGAGCTGTGAAATATTTTTATTTTTTATCATTAAATTTCCATACCACCCATCTCAGCTAAGTGAATCTGCACTTAATAGACGCAGATGAGAGCAACCTTAATAGTATATAAAGTATGTAAAGTTTATTGTCATTGTACGTATATACACAGTATAACCATACAACGAAATTCACATAACACCCAGAGACCAAGCCCAACATACATGACAATCCCCAGACACACCCCCACCCACCAAAAATTCCCCACCCCTAAACCACCCAAGCATCCACACAGCAGACCAAGTAATGCTGTCCAACAGCTGACTGAGTGGCCCTTTAGTTCATTAAATAGGGTGATGAGAGCAACTTTCTTGCTGTGGGTTAGGCTGCTATAGCTGCTCTACAAGGCACTGTTGCTTCCTTTTTCTAATGGTTATTATGACTTATTATTTTAATACAATGGAATGGAATGGAATGGAATGGAATGGAATGGAATGGAATGGAATGGGAATAGAATAGAATAGAATAGAATAGAATAGAATAGAATAGAATAGAATAGAATAGAATAGAATAGAATAGAATAGAATAGAATAAATATAGAATAGAATAGAATAGAATAGAATTCTTTATGACCAAGTGTGATTGGACACACAAGGAATTTGTCTTGGTGCATATGCTCTCAGTGCACATAAAAGAAAAGATATGTTCGTCAAGAATCATAAGGTACAACACTTAATGATAGTCATAGGGTACAAATAAGCAATCAGGAAACAATATCAATATAAATCGTAAGGATACACGCAACAAAGTTAGTCATACAGTCATAAGTGGGAGGAGATGGGTGATAGGAACGATGAGAAGATTAATAGTAATAGTAATGCAGACTTAGTAAATAGTTTGACAGTATTGAGAGAATTATTTGTTTAACAGAGTGATGGCATTCGGGAAAAAACTGTTCTTGTGTCTAGTTGTTCTGGTGTGCAGTGCTCTATAGTGTTGTTTTGAGGGTAGGGTTGTAGTTATTCTTAAGGTTACAGTCCTGGTTATTGTTATTCAGGTGAGATGAATTAAGCATCGTTAGGCATATAAACCTCAGAAAATAGATAAAAATGAACGTGTCTGATACTCATGCACTAAATATAAGAAAGTTGTGTTTCCTTTTTACCTACAAATTAACTCTATCTTATAAAGAGCGATGTTCAAATCGTTTCCAAATTATCTTATTGGAACGATACATTCTCTTCTGTTGTCAATTTAATTGTTCAGATAAATTTTAAGAGGGTTTCATAACCACCCTTTCTTGGAGGCTTAAAAGCTGAAAGAAAAGTTCCCATCGAACAAACGCCAGAAAAGACAGCCTGTCCAATGATCAGAAAACACTCCACTTTTCCTGTCCTCTCTTCACCATCACAAGCTACATTTTCCTGAGGTCTTCCTGGATCAGATCCACCACTAATTATTTTATGGAATACTTTTATGAATAATCTTCTCCTCTCCTCCTCCCCATCTTTATTTATAACTTGTATTTTATTCTAATTTTAATGTGATTTTCTTTGTTTGTAAACATTTATTAGCCGCCCATCTTACTGCAAGGCAACTCTGAATGGCTCTTTTATGCATATATTTACGGTTTCATTTTAATGCTGTAAGCTGCCCAGGGTTGCCTTGTGGCAAGATGCACAGCAAACAAATTTAATAAATAAAGACAGTCACTGAACAAGGATTACCTGCAATGCCAAATCAATATCTAACTGGCACCCTGCAGCCACCTGGTTTGGCCTACACAATCCTCTTTCTCTACATTTCTTACCGCATAACATACCCCAGGGCACTCTGCTTCAAACATCGGGGTGATTTCACCGCTGTGCTTTATTAAACAGATACCTCTCTCATGTCTCCTCGCTAGTTCCCCTTCTTAAATTTCCAACCAAACCGTCCATTTAAATGTTACTGAAAAGACGAAGCAGATGTAGTTCTAATAACCAAGCTGTCAATCATTTAAAATTACTCTCCACAGAGTTCTAGGCATATCTTCTTTTCTTTTCTTTTTTTAAAGAAATGCCTTCGTTAGCATTCTGTAGGGAGAGACAGAGTGCCCTCAAGCCCAATGATTTGAATGTACATTAAGCTGGCCTCCTCTCCCGCTCGTGAATAATTATTACCAGTTTGTGCACTGAGCACACCAGGAAATAGTGTTTGCTTTTCGGCTGGCTATCCAAATACGGTCAGCTGTTCTCAGAATAAAGGCCAGCACAATGAACCACATCTTCCACGAGTTCAAACGAGCAACCTACCTACTCCAGCTGCTTTTAAGGTGCTGTCTTCCGCCAAAATGAGTTTGTCATCATCCTCTAAACTCAGAACAAGTTCGTTGGTCTAGAAATATGGGGAAAGGAAGGGTGGAATGAGAGAGTATCAACATTTTCCAAGATCAAGAAGAAAACATTAGAATGATCTAGAGCAGAGGTGGAGAACTATGGGCCCTTTATGATTTGTGGACTTCAACTCCCAGAATTCCTGAGCCAGCCATGCTGGCTCAGGAATTCTGGGAGTTGAAGTCTACAGGTCAATAAAAGGGTCATACATAGTTCCCCATCCCTGATTTAGAGGGAAATTGTTCTGACCCAGCTTCCCAAACACGACAAACCCTCTGAAATCAATAAACGATTCCTTTATTAGGAGTGCTAGGAGCCCCGGCAAAAAGTCTCTCCCTCACAGCAGGCTAACAAATCTGTCTGGCAGGAAGATGAATAATTGTCTGCCACATCTATTCATCTCTGCTCCCTGCTTTTTATCGCCAGAGCTAGGGTGGGGTTTTCATTAGCAGCAGTGGCTCTTCCATCCCTAGGATAGCCCACAGATTTCCACTGCTCTCCTCTCCTCTGCCTTCTACGCATCCGTGCATCAGGCATGGGACCCAGCTGTTCCTCCTCTTCTTTATCAGCCACCTCCAGACCTGGGGGATGTTGACTCTCCAGCTGAGGACTGACGGACAGCCCAGGTTTCACCTCTATCTCTCTCTCTGAGAGCTCCACTCCCACTTCCCCCTTGGAGCTCTCAGGTTGCCTTGATGCTGATCCTGATTCCCACGCCTCCTCCTCATCTGATTCGGCTGTTGGTGGGGCCGGTGGCCAACAGGCCACAACAGAAATAAAAGAAACCAGGCTGTCAAAGAACATCATGGCTGGACATCATCAAAGCTGACACCAGCCACAGCATAGAAAAACTCAAAGAAGCAGTGGAAGATTGGAAGATGTGGAGAGACCTGGCCTACAGAGTCACCAACAGTCGGACATGACAGAATGGATAACATCATCATCATCAGAGGCAAATAAGGAAGCAATGGTAAACGCACCTTGGAGCCATGCGCTTGATGGATAATCTTCATTGTGTCTGAAAGAGATTATTTACTTTGAGACAGGTTTGACTTAAACACTCATGGACACTTCCCTGATTTTGTGCATGCTTCATTCATTCTGCAGCGTATTACTTTTATTCATTTTGCTAGAATTAGACAGGTATCACAGTTTGAAATATAAAACCACTTCTTCCAAGTGATGCCACTTGGGATAAATTTAGACACATAAAAAAAGAAGGATTTGGGTTATCAATGGACCCCAAATAAGAATACGGAAAGTTTACAGCCAGTCATTATTTATTTCATTATGATTAATTTGAACTGGCTTTAGAATTTATTTCAAAAGTTTTTAAGTTTAAATTATAAAATTATAAACCGCTTATATTTGTCTGTTTCATTGCATCTTAAAAGCACTATAAACAAATTAAATCAATACAACTGGTACAAATATACCCTTGCATGGGTTTTAACTATTGATTTGTTGCCAGCTTTAAAAATATTATCAACTACGACCTCTCTCTCCCCACATTTTAAGAGAGATTACAAATTACATGTATAAATATACCCGAAATGCAGTAAACACACAGAACAGCATTGTTAAGATTATTCAAATCAGCAACAACCAGCATGTCTTTAGATTAGTCAAATTCAGGCTCCAATGTGAATTTCAATGTTCGGTTTTCTTATGCTTGTTTTATTGTAATATGGTTAAAAGAGAAACCACACAAATATATTTTAGTTTAGAGAATAGATTGCTAGAATTATTTCTAGTTCCAGTCAAGTAACCATCATGTGATTTTTAATACCCTAATTCAGCATGTTTTAAGAATTTAGCCAATCCACCTATCGACACAAAAATTCTGCTATTATACATACTTTACTCATTATTCCTCATTACTCCTCCACTTATAATGCATGTGCTTAATTATAAACACAAAGTCTATACATATGGTATAAAGCAGGGGTGTCAAACTCAAGGCCCAGGGGCCAGATCCGGCTCACAGGGTGTTTAGATCTCACTCGCAAAGCCACCCTAGAAACAGCAAAGGACCGGCCCACAGTGCCTCTGCCAGCGAAAATGGAGCTTGGGAGGGCCACGTGCAGCCCTCCCGAGCTCCGTTTTCGCTGGCAGAAGGTTGCAGAAGGCCATCTCAGCCAAAAGCGGAGCTCGCAAGGACCGCGGGCAGACCTCCCAAGCTCCGTTTTGACTGACAGAGGGTTGCAGGAGGCCATCACAGCCAGAAATTGAAGCTCGGGAGCCCGTTTTCGCTGGCAGAGTGCTCAGGCCACCACAGGTGCCCCCGACACCAATGACATCGAGCTGGCCATGCCCACCCTGTCCATGGCCACCCCAAGGTCAAACACAACCCTGGTGCAGCCCTCAAAGAAATTGAGTTTCATTGGTATAAAGTCAACCTAAGAATATGGTTTATATTGAACTTTGTTCATACCAAGAAACTGAGCTGCCATTACAGCAGCTGAATTTTTCTTTGTCAATCAACTTATTTGGGGGGGGGGGACCCTAAACTATTTCAAACATATGAACAAATTCTTCAAGTTCACTAATTTATTCCCTTATAGAATGACAATCTATTTTTTTCCTCACCTAACTATAAAAGATTGCTAGGAATTACAGGTAGCCCTTGACTTACAACCATTCATTTAGTGACCCTCCAAAGTTACAACAGAATTAAAAACAGTGACATGACTGTTTTTCAATAGTTTACCATAGTTGTAGCATCCCCATTGGTCTTGTGATCAAAATTCGGAAGCTTGGCAACTGGCATGTATTTATGACGGCTGCAGTGTCCCAGGGTCATGTGGGTCACATTTGGCGACCTTCTGACAAATAAAATCAACGGGGAAGCCCAATTCATTTAACAACAGTGTTACTTCACTTAACAATTGTGGCAAAAAAGGTCATTAAAATTGGGCAAAAGTTACGTAACAACTGTCTTGCCTAGCAACAGAACTTTTGAACTCAACTGTGGTCATAAACCACCTGTACCAGGCTTCAGATAATTTAGATCTAACAAGAGGAGAAATCTATTTCCTTGACAGCAGCCCATCAGGGAAGACCTTAACTCTGCATCACTTTGAAAATACAAGATGTGTTTAATGTTTCCAAAAGAGGAGAAAAAAACTACTGTTTTCACCACAAAGAGAAAGTTAATCAAATCCTCAAGGGCTCTCCTCTTACCTTCCATCCTCTCTGCATCATTTTATAATAAAAGTATTCAGTGGCATAAGAAAACAATGGAACTAAAATGTATCAACTATATTAATCAAAATCTTGTGATTTCAAGTCATCATCAGATTGTGGCAGAAACTAGCATCTATTAAAAGACCACTTTGATTTTTTTTAACACTAATACACAATTTGTTGGTTTAATAAAAACAAATTAATAACAACAAATAAAAACAAATAAAGAAAACTTGAAAACATACTACCGTAATTCCTATTCAAACTTTACTCTCAGTGTATCATGCAAGGGCTTTACTATAGAACTCTGCCATCTACTGTCTCTTAATCTCAATAGGCTGGTTATACAATATTGTCAAATCTTATTATTTTTTTGAAAAAAACAAATTCTAAGTCAGTTTAGTATATTTTGCTTTTAAAAAAAAAAACCCTGCAAAAACATGATGCAATTTTCCTGGGAGAATGTTAACATTCATACATTTTAGCACTATATTCTCTGAATTAGTTAAATACTATATAACAGACATTCATAAACCATCTAGGTATACTGTATAACTTTTTACTTGTCTGAAGGGATGTGCATTATTTGATTTATTTTTAAACATTTGCCAGCTAGTGCACTCTTTTTACATTCGCATGGTCCATTACATTATAACATGCAAATTTATTTACTGAAAAACCTGGCATGGTGATTAAATGAATATTAACAGATATACAGTCGAACGTTTAATTGTTTCAAACCATCCCATACTTGTATAATTGGCATAATTGGACTCTTACAATTCATTAATTTATCTTTTAATTTAATGATTCATTTTGATTTAAATATTACTTCATCTTAGAATCCTATTTGTTTATCTCTGCTCTCATGTGCGGCTTACTTACTATGTAAATTCTTTCAGCACATAATTCTTATTCATTGCTTCCAGCTCCTACTTGATTCCCCCTTCTTGACCTCACAATTAGTTGCTGGCTATTGAAATGCAGAAGCATGGAAGAAACTGAGTTCAAAGGATTGTGGGTCATGAATGGCATTTTAGCATATAAGTCAAGTCCAAAAAGCATTTTGGGATCATATTACAAAAATTATACCCCAAGGACAACTCTGATAATTAATATGTGGAAGTTGAATGCCAAGATACAACTCCAGAAGGAAAAGTTCTCAGTACAAAGGAATTGCAATGCCTGATACTTTTCAATCAATCAATCAGAATAGAGCTGGAAGGCACCTTGGAGATCCTCTAGTCCAACCCCCTGCTCAAGAAGGAGACCCTATACAATTTGAGACAAGTGATTGTCCATTATCTTCTCAAAAACCTCCAGTGATGAAGCACCTACATCTTCTAAAGGCAAGCTGTTCCACTGGTTAATTGTTAGGAGGTTAGGAAGTTTCTCCTTAATTCCATGTTATTTCTCTCCTTGATTAGTTTCCATCTATTGTTTCTTGTCTTGCCTTTGGTGCTTTGGAAAATAAATTGACCCCCTCTTCTTTGTGGCAACTCCTCAAATACAGGAATAGTCCTATCATGTCATTCCTAGTCCTTTTTTTCTCTAGACTAGACATACCCAGTTCCTGCAATCTTTCTTCATACGTTTTTGTCTCCAGGCCCTTAATCATCCTAGTTCAGGCATGTCAACCTGTGGCACGCAGGCCAGATGTGTCATGCACAGGCCATGGCCACCTCAGTTCCACAAAGGCAAAAAACCTTGCAATACGTCACGAGACACACGATAGAGTTTAACACCCATGTCCTAGTTGCTTTTCTCTGCAGTTTTTCCAAAATCTCAACATCTTTTTTGTAATGTCGTGAACAAAACTGGATGCTGTATTCCAGGTGTGGTCTTACTAAGGTTTTTTAAAGTGGTACTAATACTTCACATGATTTTGATTCTATGCCTCTGTTTATACAACCGAGGGTATCTTCGCTTTTTTAACTGCTGCAGCATACTGCTGGCTCATATTGAAGTGATCATCCATTAGCACTCCAAAGTCCCTCTCACAGTTACTATTTCTGAGCCAGGTTTCACCTAATCTGTACTTGTACCTTTGGTTTTTCCTGCCTAGGTGTAAAACCTTGCTTTTCTCCACATTAAATTTCATTTTGTTAGATAGGAATTATTTTTCTATTTTGAAATTTGGATTGTTGTTGTTCTTGTTAGTTGTGAAGTCGTGTCCGACCCATCACAACCCCATGGACATTCCTCCAGGCCTTCCTGTCCTCTACCATCCTCTGGAATCCATTTAAGCTCACGCCTACCGTTTCAGTGACTCCATCCAGCCACCTCGTTCTCTGTTGTCCCCTTCTTCTTTTGCCCTCAATCTTTCCCAGCATTAAGCTCATCTCCAGTGAGTCCTTCCTTCTCATTAGGTGGCCAAAGTATTTGAGTTTCATCTTCAGGATCTGGCCTTCTAAAGTGCAGTCAGGGTTGATCTCCTCTAGGACTGACCGGTTTGATCGTCCTGCAGTCCAAGGGACTCGCAGGAGTCTTCTCCAGCACCATAGTTCAAAGGCCTCAATTCTTTGGCACTCAGCCTTTCTTATGGTCCAACTTTCACAGGCATACATTGCAATTGGGAAAACCAGTTTGGATAGGAAACATTTTGTCAGGAATGAGTTTTCCTGGTCTTGCCAGGAATCCAACACTGTTGGCACCAGTGGAAAGATGGCAGCTAACAAGTCACAGAATTCAGTGCAAGCAAGAATGTTATTAACTGAATAACAGAATTAGAAAGAACCTTGGAGGTCTTCTAGTCCAATCCCCTATTTAAGCAGGAAACTCTATGCCATTTCAAGCAAATGGTTGTCCTATCACTTCTTAAAAACCTCCAGTGTTGGAGCACACACAATTTCTGGAAAAATAATTAAACATTAAAAGAAAAGACCATGCCAAACCACATCCCTTCAACTTGTCTGGACCTCCAGAATGACAGCAGGTGTACATATGAATCAGTTGGCAATGGTGTAATACCTTTCTCTGTGTTTTTAAGTCTATGATAGGTTCAGAATCAGGGGCCTCTTGTCTCCAGCAATACAAGTATAAACAACCCAACACCTGCAGTTGGCCTAGTGACACATCTTGGTAATAATTTAATTCAAACAGTTGATACACTGCCAGGGATATTTTTGAGTAAAACTTGGTCTCCATTCCCCAACACCTGGAGATATTCTGATGACATGTCCTGTAATAACGTGGGTACCCAGATACTTGATCCTCTGCCATGAGACATTATTTCTGACATTCCTTTACTTTATCCCCTCTATAGGTATCATACTAGAGAACATGTATTGTTCTCTTGATCTTAATTGTCACAAGCATCAATACAAATCAAGAGATGAAAGGCAAGACTGATTTACAAATACAGTGATGAAATCTGCAAAGTTTGTTAAGAAAATTGTTTGAAGCATGGATAAGCAGGAAATTAAAATACAAAATTTGATAGAAATGATTAATGCTGCCATCTTATCGGTGCAGGCCGAAAATGTAGACCACATCATTAATAACTCACAAACCTTGTCCACTGATGGAGTAGGTTTCTCTGTTTCCTATCAGGAAATCTTTAAACCCACATCGCTAATGCAACTACTATCAGCTCCAGGGAAAATTCAGTTATGCTGTTTACTCAAGAGGAAGCAAATGGAAATTCTTCCTTCAATAGTTTTACTCACAGGAATACATGCATTAAAGACTGGCAACATTGACCAGCATGATCATTACTAAGTCAATAAGATTGCAAGCCTTTATTTATTGATTTAGGATTTTAAAACTAGAGGCAAATTAAAAGGGGGAAAAGGGAAAAAATGAAAAAAGAGAAATGAAGTTGTCTTTCGAAATAACTTATTTCAATCACCTGCTTCCCCAGCACAAGATCTCTCACAGCATATACATTTCTACAGTTGAGATCATTGTTTGAGACATAAAATTAAATGTACACCACATTTGGCTCCCCTGATCCCCACCTTACTATGTCATTCCCTGATCTCCAACCCTGACTTTTATGGGTTAAATCTTCAAAGAAAATTTGAATGAATTAGAAAACCAAGCCAAATTGATATCCATGCTTTTGTGGATTGTGCCTTACTTTATTCAAAGCAGAATTCATTTAAACAGGTTGTTTAAAAAATAAGGAAAGGAAATTACCATACGTATATTTTCTGAAAGGCGGCAAAAGTTCTGTCCTCGATGTGATATCTAGAGGGGGAGCAAAAATGAAAATCAACATTGTGTTCCCTTACATTTAGCAATTTAGCAATGTACATAAGCACCTGGACCATTATCTTAGACCAGGGGTGTCAAACTGGCAGCCCATGGGCCAGATGCATCATGTGCATGCCACATCCACCTCATCTCCGCGAAGGGAAAAACGTCATGAAACATCACGATGGCAACGTGCCACCGTGAGTTTGACACCCTTTATTAACCAAGAGAAAAATAAGCTGCTTTTCAATAGCAGTCAAACTCCACCAAATCAAATGAAACTCACAAAAGAATTATATATATGGTAGGCAGCAAGATCTTGGGAGACCAATGGGTGGCAACACCTAGTCAACTTTCAGTGATCTTGAAAGGTTAAACCGGGTCAGACCTGGTAAATACTCAGATGGGAACCCACCAGAATTATCGGCTAGACTGAGAAAGCATCGCTCAAGAAGACATAACAAAATACTCCCATGTCAAGAAAACTGGATAGCGGTATCTATGTACGTATCAGAGATTGATATCAGGCCAATGAGGATCGTCATATTTTAATAAAGACATGTTTGAAGCAGGCTTGACGTCTGCTGACTACATGGGTATTCCACAGAGTTTTCATGGCAATAGCATGAAAGGTTTTTGCCATTTTCAAGGTTTGGCGGTTTTGGCTTTTTTCACTTTTACATCCAATACAGGTGATTCTCAATTAACAACCACTCATTCAATGACTGTTTGAACTTACAACAGTGCTGGATGAGTGGTAGCTATGACCAGCCCTCATACTGATGATGTCACAGGGTCTTGGAATCACGTAGTTGCAATTTGGAAACCTTTCCTACCGGTTTCCAACCAGCAAAGTTGCAAGCCAGAATTACATGAGGACTTCATTCAATGTCCATCTAATCCTTTCTTTACAACAGCAACCAGGACTGCCATAGCTAAGTGGTGCAGTTGTGTTATTTTTCAACTTATGCCCCTGTCGTTTAACCATGGAGTTCCTGGTTCCAATTAGCATGGTGCGGTCCTTGGTGCTCTCTGAGCTTGGTTGTTTTCTTGCAGACATTTCATGACTCAACTAGATAACATCATCAGTGCGAGAAGGGAGTGGGTTTGCTCTCGTTTTATATACTAGTGGCTTGCCCTTTCACTGTTGGCGAGAGTGGTCTTGGTGTTTCCTTGATTGGGCTGTTTTGGGTTTGATTGGGTTTACTGTTAAGCTTGTTTGTCTGAGTTGTTAGTTCCTTGACTGAAATATTGTTTGCTTTTTGATTGTTAGCATTGTTAAACAGAGGACTACCTGTAAACATGTAGTTAATCCATACAAAGGATTGTAACAAATCATATAGACTGAAATATTATCATTCAGAATCTGCCATGACTTGTTTTTTGTTTATTTGTTTGCAGCCTTTAAGTCAGTGTTAACTCCTGGTGACTGCCTAGAAGAGTGCTTGCCTGCAGTTTTCTTGGCAAAGTTTTCCAGAAGTGGTTTGCCATTGCATTTTTCTAGGGCAGAGAAAGAGTGACTGGCCCAAAGTCAGTTAGCTTCATCCCTAAAAGAAGACCAGAACTCATCACCTCTCTGTTTCTCATCTGGTATCTTAATTAAACTGGCTCTCATAATCTCTTAACATATGATACTGTAAAAAAAGTTGCCTTGTAGCTTGATTATCCCTTAGAAAGCATATATTCTGAGAGAAATAAAGCTTTACTGAGTTTGACTTTTCTAAAACATGGTCCAATAGAAACATTGTAGGAACAAAGGAGATAATATATAATCAAATCAGACAACTGGCCCAACCAACACATACATGACTGATGTCCTGGCTGGCTGGTTGCAGCACTCTAGTTCTGGGGATTTTTTTTTTCCAGCTTGCCTAAATATGCATTTTGTAGGCAAAAATGTGCATGCTCCAATTCTTCTGCCAAAGAGCTGTCAGCAAAGTCCTCCCCCAGCCCCACCCCCACCTCCCTTCCTCCTATTAGTCTTTCAGTGCACTGACCAGCAAAGTCAACCTTCACAGCTTCTTACCCTTCTTCACAAACTCAATAAATTCTTTTATAGTCTGGTCCAGGTTAACATTACGGTACAAAACAGGTCTGAAATTACGATGCTCAAAAGAGCGAATAAGCCGAACGGTAACTATCACACTTTCGGATGACATGTGAAATTAACCTGGAAGGCAAAAAGAAAAAGAAAAAAAGAAAACCATTGAATTATTGCCTTTGAAAGAACTGATCTTCTTTGGAAAATAAAAATATAAGAGATCAACTAAGAGGCGCAGAGAGATTTTTAGAAGGTACATAATTATTTCATTCATTTACAGTAATCCTTGTTTCAGAGATTTTAGAAACATTTGAATACTATTTTGAAAAGAAGCATTAAAAGCTGCATAAAGAAAAGGAGCCCTAAAACAGTGATGTTACCGTGTTTCCCCGAAAATAAGACCCTGTCTTATATTTTTTTGAACCCTGAAATAAGCGCTTGGCCTTACTGCCATACGCTCAAAAGTCTGATTGGGCTTATTATCAGGGGATGTCTTATTTTGGGGGAAACAGGGTAATAGAAAACTACTAATAGAAAACTAATGCAGAGATCTTCAAACTTGGCAGCTTTAAGACTTGTAGACTTCAACTCCCAGAATTCTCCAGCCAGCTATGTTCCAGCCACCTATGCTGGCTGGAGAATTCTGGGAGTTGAAGTCTACAAGTCTTAAAGCTGCCAAGTTTGAAGACCTCTGATCTTAGTGGATACTGACCTACTTTGCCTTCATATTCTTTCACTGTCCACTACTCTCTCTCTCTCTCTGTGTGTGTGTGTGTGTGTGTGTGTGCGTGCGTGCATGCATGACAAAAGCCTCCTGCGAGCTCACCACTGCAATCACAGCATCACAACTATACGGAGCAGTGTTTAATTCACTTATTTTACCAGCAGAAGAGAATACTATTTTCATTTATTTTTGTTAGCCACCCAACTCCAATGGGCTCTACGCAAAAATGCCCACCCAGTTGCGCGCACCGGCTTTCCCACGTGCTAACGCCTCTCAGCTCCAAGCACACAGGAGGGACCCCTGTCCACATCCACATTCAACTCCATCGCAATGCGTGTCATTCTACCTCCGAAGTCACCTGCCACTCCCCGTGACAGCTTCGCTAAGAATCCTATAGTTTCCTCCCAGGCGAGTCAAGAGCTTCACTGCCTCGCCTCGCCTCGCCTTGCAGGTTCGCCCCAGCGAAGTCCCTCAAATGAATCCCGCCCCTGCCTTGGAATCACGTGGCTAGAAGGCTTCCTCCGCCGGTTCCTCGCCTATCGCCTGTCATTTCCTGGTGGAGAAAGAAGGCTCGCCTTCTACTGTTCTCCAACTCTCTCGCCAGCGATTAATTGCTCCTCCCACTTTTTGCGTTCCATCCAATGACAAAGTTTAGAATTCCCTTTCTGCAACTACTCTCCGCACCTCTCACCAGCGATTGGCTGTTCCTCCCACTTTTGCGTTCCACCCAATGACAAAGCTTAGAATTCCCTTTCCCTTTCTGCGACTACTCTCCGCGCCCCTCTCACCAACGATTGGCTGTTCCTCCCACTTTTGCGTTCTACTCCAAGACAAAACCTAGAATTCCCTTTTCGCATTTTCATTGCCTTGCCTTGCAATGAAAGGTGCCGCTGTCTTTTCTCTCCCTTTCTTACCAATGAAAGTTTTTCGCTGTTCATCTAAATCTTTCAGGGAGAAGGTTACGCACTTGGTATCTATGCCGATTTTTTTGTGACACACTTCGAGATTTCTGTGAACAACGAAAATAGTGTTAGGTGCCTATTTAAATTAAAGTATGTCTTACTTCCAAATAATTCCACTTTCTCACCACGTGATTGAGGTAGGATTACCCACCCACCCACCCACCCCGGAACGCTTATTCTCCCGTCTGAGTTGCAAAACTGGCTTGGTGACTTTGAGGCAGTCACTACTCTCTCTCAGCCCAACCCACCTCACGGGATTGTTGTGGGGAAAACCAGGAGGAAGAAATATTAGGTATGTTTGCCACCTCGAGTTACTTACAAAGTAATAAAGGTGGTATAATTCAAAGAATTCTATTCTATAAAAATCTAATAATAAAATAAGGATGCATCGGAAAGAGCATTTTACAACAATCTTGCAAAGCACTGCAGTAATATATTCAGATTTGAAAGTAAAGCCTAGAATTCTCAAATAAAAATAAAATATCGTCCTTACACCATTGCACCGTTTGCCCATTTTGCAGCTTCTCCAATCTCAATGCTCTAAATTTTGTGATCTTATTATTTGATTAGAAATAAGACCTGGACCAGAAGATAAAGATTGCTGTCTTGTTGGAGACGACCACAGTTTTATAAAATACTAGAATTTTTTTCCACTTGTCTACCTGCATTATTATACATCCTGGAGAGACGACAAATCACACAAAGAAGTTGCAATGTGTATGAAGACAAAAATTTTCTCTTGGTTAAAAATGGCTTGAGTTCTAAGGTCATGCATCCATGTCATCATTTTCACAGCATTTTCTGATTTGGCCACATGGAGTTCAATATTCCTCCTCCACTGCAGACTGACTTGGGTGGATGCCGAGTGATGTATCAAAGAGTTAACCTCAATTATTTTGCAAGTAGACTTCGGGTTCCTAGTTGCAACATATAGAGTGCTTTCCAGAGGATGAAGAACAGGATGAATGCAGAAGAATTCCTGAAAACAGAGTAATGAAATGGCAACATTTGCATCTTCATGAGAACCTAGCTAGGCAGCCTTCATTGGAAGTGTGGGCAAACCATGACCCAAAATGCATTTAAAAATGCATACTCCTAAGAATCAAAGAAGAATCTATGGATGCAAATCAAACTAGGAGGTTTTAGGGACACAAAGTGAGCCTTTTGATTCAAAGACTCTGCTAATCTCTACGGATTAAACATTTAGCTAGAAATCTACATTACTCTGTTAGTCTATTGTTCTTACATCCAATGTTTTTAATTGATTCTAATATGTTGGTTGTGCTCTGATATTGTATTTATCACAGCAAATTTAGTTTTCAGTGAGTTTTATATCACTTGAAATCTCTGGGCAAGAGAAGTTTCTGATAGTAAATCAATGCTGTCACCTATTTTGTCCAGAATCTTCCAGTTCTAAACTCCTCCTACATATTCTTTCTTGATACAAAATTCTCTAGACACTTTCTATGTCCTTAATTTCACATGATAACAAAATAATACTTAGGATCATCCAATGCAAATTAGAACTCTGCATTGAAAAAGAGATGCCATATGTTCAAGCTGACTTTAGAAAAAGCTGACGAATACAAGACATGTCAATGCATGCTAGATAACTGCGAAAGGCCCCAAAAAACAAAGTCATGTGCTTCATTGATTACATACAAAGGCCTTTGAATGTGTCAATCACATCAAGTTGTAGAATGGATTAAAAGGGGGAGGGCAGAATCTCAGAACATCTCATTATCCTCGTGAGAAATTTATATATAGGTCAGAAAGTTTCAATATTGACAGAACATGATGAAACCAACTGGCTCCAGATTGACAAAGGAGTGCAACAGGGTACTTTCCCCTTATTTATTCAATCTATCTGCTGAGTTACGGAAACTGGATTACATAAAGATTAACATGATTTTAAAACTTGAGAAAGAAACATCAGTAACCTGTGTTATGCTGATGACATTACAGCGCTAGCCAAGAATGCAAAGGATCTGCAAGCCATAGTAATAAAATTCAAGGAGCCCTGTGAAAAGGGGGGACTAAAATTATTATAAATTATAAAAAAGACTAAACTAGCCTTAGAACAACGAGCCTTAGAAATGACACTGAAGATATTGAAGTGGTGGATAGCTTCTGTCTCTTAAGATTATCCATCCGTAGTAAAGGCAAAAGTAAAGTCAAGAAATACATTGCAGATTAGCATTGCAGTTTAGCACTTGGCAGCCAGGAAAGCCTTGGAAAAAGATACTGCATTCAAAATGCCAGGATGTATCTTTACTTACAAAGATAAGGATTGTACAAGCCGTGGTGCTCCTTGTGACACTCTATGGAAGCAAAAGTTGAACTTTAAAGGAGCAGGATAGGCAGAGTACTAATACCTTTGAATTGTGGTGTTGAAAAGATTCCTGAGAAAACCAAGGACAGCCCCACCCAAAAAAGCAAACCAATGGCTCATCAAACTGGGAGCTTTTACTCAAGGCACCTGGTTCAAATTATCCTACTTTAAACATATTATATGAAAACCTACCCTTTAATGCTGGGAAAGATGGAAGGAAAGGGAAAAAGAATCTTTCGATATTTTTTTTAAAGGTCCCCCAAAACCTGGTTAATGCTGCCAGATCTGGGGCTCCCAGGGGGATTTATCTCAGTGGGCAGTATTGCTGAGTGGGGCATTTTTATCCTCCCTACATGTCTGGCCTAAACGCAAAGACGACTCAAAGAAATCCAGTCAACTCCAGTTCTTTATTTGCTTAAACCTAATAGATAGAATCTCACCAGATTAAAGCTATACTCTTCTAACCTAAAAGACCTGTGAAATACTAGGGTGTGGCTACGCTAAATCTTTTCCTCCTTATCCCCATGGATATATGCACAGTCTCATATATTGCGCCTCTCTCAGGAACGTGCTGCCTTATCTATGTCTAATTTAATGAAAAGAAGGACTAGGGGGTGACATGATAACAGTGTTTGATATCTCAAGGGCTGCCACAAAGAAGAGGGAGTCAAGCTATTCTCCAAAGTACCTAAAGGCAAGGCAAGAAGCAATGGGTGGAAACCAGGGTTGAGTTCTACTTAGCTTTACTACCGGTTCGCAATGGGACCGTGTGTGCACGTGCGCGCTTCCTCAGATGCAAAGAAACTTCCTGATGACATCTGGGTCAGCGGGCGGAGCCTTCTGCCAGTTTTACTACCAGTTCTTGCAAACCGGTCCGAACCAGGGGCAACCCACCACTGGTGGAAACTAATCAAGGAGAGAAGCAACCTAGAACTAAGAAGAAATTTCCTGACAGAACAATTAATAAGTGGAACAACTTGCCTCCAGGAGTTGTGAATGCTCCAACACTGGACGTTTTAAGAAGATGTTGGATAACTATTTGTCTGAAGTGGTGTAGGGTTTCCTGCCTAAGCAGGGGGTTGGACTAGAAGACCTCCAAGGTTCCTTCCAATTGTTGTTCTATTCTATTCTATCCAGCCACAGTGTGATTGCCAAAGTTCCCTTCCACATTCCTTCACACTCAGCCCATGGTTACTATTTTCATTTTTATGTTAATTACTGTAGGGGGTCTTTTTATATTTTTATCTATTTTTATATTAGCTATTTTATTTATTGTTATGTGCCACCCGAAGTTGCAACTCTATGAATTTGATTAATAATGAAAGAAGAGGACAACCAGTATAAGGTATACTCAGTTACAGTGGTGATGAGTGCCTTCTTTAGAAGAGCTGAAGGACCAGGTTAGGGACAGAAATCTATGTGGTCACTAAGACAATAACTTGGCACACAGACAATTAGTCAATCTCCCTTGAAAGGAGATTCCCTATCTGCTTAACATGTTGAAGATATGGGGAAGGTGCCAGGTAAATGCATCTCTCTGGAAGATAGATGATGGCAACAGCATCCACCAAACACACCACCACAAAATGGGCCATAGCAACTAAAACTCAGAGAACCCTGGGAATAGGAGGGTTGAGATTGCTTACCTTTCACTCTACAGCAGGAGTGTCCAACCTTGGCAACTTTAAGACCTGTGGCCTTCAACTCCCACAATTCGGCCAGCCAGCCATGATGGCTGGGGAATGCTGGAAGTTGAAGTCCATAGATCATCCTTGTTCTACTTATGCTTCCTAAGTTCCTGCCTCAACTTAGGGGGATAGTTTAAAAGACCAGCTATTGAACTCTTGGTGTTTGCCAAGCTGGGTTATTTTCCCAGGCATTTTATTACTTTAATGAGGGAACCATCAAGAAGGAACCACACCCCAAGCTTGATTGGTAGTGCAAACTCTATGAAATCAGCCAGGAAACTCACTCCTCAGGCACTGATAATGTTACCTAACCTGGTAAAGAAGAATCTGCAAGAAAACAATCCAGCTCAGCAAATGCCAAGAACCCAACATTTCAACACTGAACTACATATATTTTCTACTGGGGGGGCGGGGAACAGGCACACCTCTTTTCCAATCCTGAAGGCCCAATGCAACCATGTTAACAATTAACCTTGTGATCTGGGCTTCCACAATACTCTCAATCACAATAGCTCAACACCAAGTACCTTTATTAAATGCTGAGTCATAAACTGAGCAATCATATTTTAAACCCACATGCCATGCAAATCCAACTTTGGCATACTTTCTTGTTTTAATGATGAAACGGGGCCCTTATACTTTCATCATACCATTTCACATTTTGCATTGACTTAAGTTCTAGCACTATCAAAAAAAATTTTTTAAAGAAAATGGGGCCTGTTTTGGCAGGCCTAGCATTAAATGTAGTTGAAAGCCATGCCTGATTTTATTATTGAAAAGTTTTACAGAAGAAAGATTCCCCCCCCTTTCCCTCCCCTCATCCCACCCTCCGCCCCCCACTTCCCAGAGCAAAATACAAGGTATTTCAATTAACAATCATAAGCTAAATTAACCTATCTATCCTTAGACTACTAAATTCCCCCCTGAAACCTTAACTACACTATAGATAACATAATACTTCTAATACTTAACATTCATTCATAAGCTATATGATATTTTCTTGTCTGATACTTATTTTGAATATAATCAATCCATCTTCTCCATTCCGATACGTATCTTTCTTGTGTCTAGTCCTTCAAATACCATGCCTGATTTTGTTGTAGAAAAAAAAACTAATGTTGGAAAACAAGGAAGTAAAAAGATGAGGATCTGTACAATCCCCTTCAATAGGCTGTGGGAGTCTAACTCCAGCTGTGCAGCTGACACACAGTATGGACTTTGTAATACTTGAAATATGGTGTTTGTAGTCCTGCGGCACTGACTAACCAACATAGGTTTCCTTGATTTGGCCATTACCAGCTCTGCAGATGCTAAGACAGCTGAACACAATTGAACTTGATTGCTAATTACGGGAGAGTTCGGGAGAAATCTTAAAAACTTCAGGCAAAGGGGGGAGTTTCTACAATGGCAGACTGTATTGCTATAACGACCCTCACCAGAAATAGAGGATCCTTTTTTACTTTTATATTTTATTCTGTTGATGAAAATCCGATGTTATCCTCTTCTTTCTAACTTGGGACTTGGCCGGAGTCTCCAAGCTCCCCTCAGGAACCGGACGTGAGGATCTCCTCGTCACTCTTTACTGAACGAGAACTCTTGTCTCCCATTTAGTCCACGCCGTCCATCAGCTCCTTTGGGGAGACGCGATTGAAGGAAGGCGCGGGATTCTCCGCCCTCCCCCTGTGATTGGTCGGCATCCACTGGGCTGATGAGTGAAATAGTGGCTCTGGCAAAGCAAAGAAGCTGCAAAGGGGAAGCGCGTTCTCACTAGTTTTAGGCGGTCTTCGGTCTTTTTCTCGTTCCTGTCGACTATCTTGCAATTATGACGCAGGTGAGTTCTAAAACGACGAATATTATTTGAGACGAATAGCCCCAAAAGCGTTTTTCTTCCTCTTTCTCTCTTTTGAATTACTCTTTTGTCTTGCATGGAGGGTGGGGGGGGGAGGGAAATAGGGACGTGAGTGCCATGCCTTCTAAGTTCCCCTCCCCCGCGCCCATTTTCTTTCTTCTCTTTTCTTTCGTCGCTGAAGAAACCTTGCTAAATGAATTAAATCTCATGGGCTCAAATCCCTTATCATTCTTCGGTTTCCTATCGCTGGCGTCCCGCCCTACCTAGCAAAGCTGTGGGGTGGGAGTCGTCCCTGTAGGTTTGTCGGAAGTGATTTTCCAGGTTGCAATGAATGCAAGAAGAAGAATTGTTTGAAATTTGTTCGGCGTCTTAGAAAAACCCATTCAAGGGAAAATAAACTACCTCAAGTTTTTGCCGGCGGCTGAAGTGCGTTCAAAAGTGCCTACATGAAAGCAGCTTCTGATCCTTGACCGGGGAGGAGGAGGGGAGGAAAAGGGCGGCAAATAAGTACTTCGTTTCCAGTGCGTTGATGAAACAATTGGCAATTGTGGCTACAGTTGAACGCTGAAGCGGGTGGTGTTTGCTAGTGTAACTTCTTTTGATACTGTAGTAACAATGTTCAGTGGAAGGGACGTGTCGGAATTAATGGGAATTGTAGGGGGTAGACCCAATTACAATTCTGGAGCCTCGGCTGCCTAGCCTTGGAACTTGATGTGGCAACATTTCACAACCCATATCACACTTTTGATCTATGTAGGCATTGTTCAAGCAAGCAACTGGGTAGGTTGAAAATAGAACCCTCTGTACGTGCATACCTCAATTCAAGTTGAAATTGGTGACAGGTGCATTGTGTTTAGTGTGCCTGTAGTTAGGTTAAAACTGAAGAACATTTTAGAAATGGCAATCCTTGTGTTGAATACAATTAAGAATGGCCGTCTTTCAACCACGGGGGAGCATTAAACCTTTTTCTTTTTGCATCTACTGAAATAGGCAGAGTTTGATAAAGCAGCTGAAGAAGTTAAGAAGCTGAAGACACAGCCATCAGATCAAGAATTGCTGGATCTCTACGGCCACTTTAAGCAAGTTACAGTTGGAGATGTAAATACAGGTAAGAACAGCCAGTAGTAACTATGTACACAAGGTTGCAGCATCTCAAATGACTAAAACCACCTTGATTGAACAAAAACTTTTCAGAATTGATATGAACAGAACTATTTCCACAAAGCCTATGTGCTAAAAAATACAAATGGCTATTGGGCTGAAGTCAAGATCTGGATCATTTTTAGCTACACACTCTTAACCTACTCTCACTTTAATATTTATGTTCATGACAGACTCACTAATAGACTTCAGTTTGAGATTGAAAATCCTTATTTGGTCAGAGATAAGCTACAGGCAGAGATGCGCACCACTTTAATATGCCTAAAAGATCATTATTCCAGATAGTATTAAAAGCATTAATACATAGTCCTCAATGAACCATAACTCCCTGTAATATTAACGTTAATTTCTTAGTGAAATATATATTTAAATTTTGTTTGATTTCTTCCCATCTTGTGTCTAAGACCTTGAGGTATCTCTGACCAAGCTCCCTAATCCAACATGCCAGCCACTACATCATATATGGCATAGGCGCAGCTATTACCTAACTATCACAATATGTTCATTCATATACTTCGCTATTATGAATTTATACTGTGCCTTTATTTCGTGCATCTCAGGGTAAGAACATAATGTTCCAGAATGTAACTTTCCACACAGCAGCTCTGTTAAGGAGATTGGATTAAAAGAGAGAAAGACCTAAAGTCATCCAGCCAGATTTCATGCCAATGGGGAACTAGAACTTCCCTGGTTTCTAGTCCAGAATCTTAATCATGACACCAAAGTGTTTCTATAACATTAGTCACAGTGATTGCAGTGGTATGTGGACACAGAGATTGATAGCGTTCAAGGTAGCCATCTCTCCCAGCCATCCTGGGACAACATCTTCTAGAATTTCCTAGCCAATATGTTTCTATGTTGCTTCTGAGAATCTGCATGAGATTGCAAACAATGTGATACTGCAGTGCATCTTAGGTTTCTTGAACTATTCATTTTAGCTATTCTTCATAAAGCAATAGAGACCAAGTATGATGGAACTTGCGGTTAATGCCTTAAGCAATATTCCACAAGCAGACTTGGCATATTATGATGCTAAGGAAGATACCATGTTCCAAGCAAGATAGACAATCAGAGATAGGAATTAAAGGATTGCATAACTAAGAAATCTGCCTTATTGGCAAAAGTTTTTAGCCAGCATGCTGTTTAAGTAACTTGTGTAAGGACCAGCACACTTCAGGCTTCTGCTGCTTTATGAGGATTAATTAAAATGACTAGACCAAGAATCTTGGCACATATCATGGAACTGTTCCAAAATAGGAGTTGTGGGAATTGCAGTTTCAACTTATAAAAATCATGATGGTTATGCAGCCTTTTACATTGAGCTTTCAGTTATAGAACAGGTAGTTACACTGAAAAATTGTAACCTAATTTTGCATGAATTGTGATATAAGAAATGATTATAGAAGCCATGCCATGTTAGTGCATGAAGTGTTTGACTCTGCAAATGCCAGGAAACTGAAACCAAAATACCAGAAGTTTGATTTTAGTTGTAACAGAACATGATGTTATAACAGATAAGTGGTAGAAAATATAAGCATGACTGTGCCTAGCTTTATATGTTACAAAGAGTACAATCTGGTGCCCTGATAGAAAAAGGGAAAATATTTACTGATAATAACATTTAATTAATACCTTACAATTAACTAAGGTTTCCACTACAGACCTACATGATTATGTTACAGGATGGCTATCTAAAAACAACTCAAGTTAGGTAAAATGAGCCATAAGCATCATAAACCTTTAAACTAGAATAAGCAGCCTAGAGAACTCCAGATATCTTGGCCTTTGTAAGCCATCTTCCGTATTCAGCATAGCCAATGTTTGCACTGTGGTCTGATATATGTAAATGATACCAGATTCTCTGTCTCTGCTTCAAGATCTGTGTGAGAACAGTAAGTTGTATGAGAATTTGGAAAGAAATTTAGTGTAACAGTCCAATTTTAAAAAAAAAATCATGAGAATGCACTTATGTTAATCATGAGAATTGAGCCTGGAGGCAACTCTTTATCATTATGTCATAAACCATTTAAATCACCGCCTGCTATTATAATATCCTCACTTTCTTAAGATTTGGCCTATTGTGCAACTGATCCAAACTTTGGATGGTTGTTTGAAATACTGTTCCTCTTTTATACTTAGATGTTCCTTATAGTTTCAAATAATTTTGCTTACTCGTGTAAGAAAGGGAGTCTAAGGGCAGCCTGGAGATCAAAATAATGAGACACAGAGGCCTCTTCCCTCATACAGTTGCAACTATATTGATACTGTTGGACATTTGAGGGGGATATAAAGCTCCCAGCTGAGCATTGCTGGCATCTCTGCTGGGGAAGCAAGGGACAGTAGCTCAATTTTTCTCTGGGTTAGTGCTGCCAACTTGAGCTCAAGGTCATCCATTCTGCCTGGTGAGCAGCGGATTTTTTTTTTCAGACCGTCTCATTGCCAACTTTGAGAATTAAAGTTTTAAAGTGGCAGATTTGTTGAACGACCCCCCATTGCATTTGAGGCTTTTAGACCAAAGGTTTAGGCATAGAACAGATCTCCAAAATATGTTTCATGTGAGATAAGTACACAACCCTGATTCTTTCGTTCTGGTGACCTGTCGGAAGAAAAAGTGCCCAAAATGAACAGATTGTCAAGGAAAGGGAGACTACTCTGCTCAGATAACTATCTCACTAGGCAGAAGCACACATTGTTTACTTAGAAACAGAGTCCATGTTCACAGAACAACGTGTAAAAAGGAAAACCCTGGTTGTATGAATGTACACAGGAATATTTTCATCCACATGCTTTATTTTTACAAAGGTTTCAGACGCAGTTCAGGGTGGTGTGATATTACATCCCTTTCACTTGGATATTATATATAGTTGTATCATTGAATAACTGGTTGGACTTAATCAGGAATCTAAAAGACTATTCATGTTGAGTTCACATAGTATACCAAGTCTAGAGTCTTGGGTAAAGCAGGCACAGCAAAGGGTTAAAAATGGCACTCTGTTTAAAACTGCTTAAGTTTTTTCTGGTCAGCATAAATATGCAAACATGGCCAGAAAGTTCCATAGAGATTTTCTAGAACATGGGTGCCTTCTTTTGTTCTTACAATGACTCTAAGGATCCTAGGACCCAATGTCAAACTAATTTGAATTCTTGAAATACAATTGCAAATGCAATTAGCTGTATAGCAATTATAAGTAATATAAAATAAAAAGCATAATCTCTTCTTCTAAAAGGAGATGGGGCTTTAATGTGAATAGTTTCAGAATAGGGTCTTTTTCTATCTTTAATAGAGGAACTACTTGCTTGAACCAAATAACCCTCAAAATTGGGGATATATGTTTTCATTTGTTTGTTTTATATCTTGCTGTTCCATTCACTGGGATGATAAAGGAGACAAGGAGATATAAAATAAAGCAAATTATTTTTTGGAAATTTCCAAAGTTACTCTGGAAAGTTCAGGAATAAATTTATAAGTGCAATACTTGAGTATGAAAAGCAGGTGATTTCATGTGGAGGTAAAAGTTTGTTTTTTAATGGTGTACGTATACTCTACCATTTCACACAAAAAGTGTACTTTTTAATGCAATATGCAAGTAGTTGACTTGCAACTGCTTGAAGTTAT